GAACGATCAGCAAGTGGGAGTATTGAGGTTGGCAGCCAACTATCGGACTATTCCTAGTATCCCTTTGACCCGTCGAGCCCTCAGCAAATTCCTAACCACCCCAAAGAAGGTGTCAAATGATATAAAATGTCTAACCCTCAATAAAGCTCCAGGACCCGACGGTATCGATGTGATTCTCATGAAAAACATGCCTCGAAAAACCATTGTTCAATTACACTACATTATCAATGCTATTATCAGGACACAGCACTACCCAGAGTCCCTAAAAACTGGGATTGTTGTGCCCATTCTGAAACTAGGCAAAAATCCCAAATTACCAGGTAGCTACCGCCCTATCTCTCTGCTCAGCATAGTAGCCAGAGTCATAGATAAGACAATTCTCCATATGGTTGACACTCTTGCAGAAGACCTGAGTGTGATCCCTCCTGAGCAATTCGGGTTCCGCAAGGGACACAGTACAACGTCCCAAGTTGCTCGAATTGTTCACGGGATCAAAGAAGCCTTCAGCCAAGATGAAAACACGGTTATGGTCCTGATGGATATTGAAAAAGCATTCGACACCGTTTGGCACGAGGGGTTGATGTATAAGTTGGCATCTGCAGGGATGCACATGTTCATTGTTAAGTTGATCGACTCGTATTTAGCCCGTCGCAACATTAAAGTCAAAATTAACAACACTATTTCCAGACAATTTCCACTCGAGGCAGGTGTTCCACAGGGGTCGTGCATTTCACCTCTGCTGTACTCTTTATATACTTATGACCTTCCTGTGTGCGATAATGCGAGTACTGCATTATATGCGGATGATACTGCAATATATGCACACTCGTACTTCTCGGATGTCGCCAGGGCTCAGATCCAGGAACACCTGGACAGGAGGGTCATTCCGTATCTTGACAACGCGAAGATTGGAATAAATCATGCCAAAACAGAAATCATAAACTTCTCTAGAAAATTCACAAACAACACTTTATTCCAACCTTTGCGTGTCAAGGACACTGAGGTGGAGGTCAAGGCCTCCGTGAAATACCTGGGAGTCAAACTGGACAGACGTATGAACTTCTTCGCTAATACTGGATATCTTTTAGCAAAAACCAACGCGACAATCAGGAGCTTGTATCCTTTGTTGGCAAGGAATTCCTCGCTATCACTGGACAACAAACTCCTGATTTACAAACAAATATTCCTGCCAAAATTAACATACGCCAGCCCAGTATAATGTAGTATTTCGTCTACCCATATGAGTAGGCTACAAATACTACAGAACGAGGTACTCCGTATCATCACCAACGGTAACAGATACACTCAAGTGGTAGACTTGCATTCATAGTGCTATGATCTGCCCCTCATAAGAGATTACATTCTGAAACTATCAGATAAATTTTATAGGTATCACATTCGCAATAGCGAATTAACCAACGATATCACCTCAATCAGGGCAGATCATGTCCAACGTAGAAAACACGGGCTTATCTACGAAGCGTGCGGTATTTTCAGGGAACCCCTGGAATAAAATCCCACCCTCCCCTTTTCCCAATAGACTGAACGCGCTCTCAAACTCCCTAAAACGGGAATTATTCGAGGTTTATAAGGTGGTTCGGTCGACCCGAAGATCAAATGCTCTGGTTCCGACCGAACGAATGATCATATCCAGCCCAAAGTGGGCGAAGTTAGTAATTTGGCACAACCACTAGCCGAGCCAGTGAATATTCACTCGGACCACATCCGACTAACTGATATTCGCTTAAATTCAGTCTGTTAGTCCTATACCTTCCTACCAAACCCATCCCCAACCCTTACCCACACCACCCCATGGCAGTTGCACTTGGAAGTATTGAAATAGTGGTTTTTTATTTTCATTTTCCACTAATTAAATCACCTAATTTAGAGAGATCTTGGTAGCATCAAATCTGAACGTTGAATTTTCGCTCGCCCTGAGCATCTCGCTGACATTGGCCATGGATAGGACCCAGTCCTGGGACATAGCCTGCCCATCATATCTATCATGTGTGTTGTGTAAAAACCGACCCCCCTAGACCATTCGTGGCCGACCTCTGGGCACCGGGAGGTCTCCCCAGAGGGTTTTAACGTGTATTGTTACCGTAATGTTTCATATGTTGCTGTTTTATTTACATGTTATATTAGGTTTTATATATACCCACATAAATGTTATTCATGTTTAAGTTGAGAAATAAAAGTATTGAATCGGCTTGAATAACAGGAAAAAGAAAACTCCACGATGAATATAGACCCTCCTTTTTCTAATTCAATTAATGAAGAGATACTATAGTCAGGACATTACAACGACGATATTTTATTGCTGAGCTTAAATGAGAGTTCTTCTTTCCTCTGGAAGGAATAAATAGAAGAGGAAACATGAAGTTAATCCAAAAACAATTGCAGAATTTCGTGGTGCACCTGCCCTCACTTCAAACGGAACTTTAAACCTGCCGACGCTGCTATAGGTGCGGGATATCCTGCAATTGGTTTCGGATATATCATACGTACTCAATCACATTCAGAAATAGTTTAATTGATATGTGAAGAAAGCTTTGAATTGATCATTCAATTCTTCATAACCAATGAGAGGGTTGAATCAGATGCACACCAACGAGTGGCTCAAAGTCTAGTTAGTTACTATTTTTCAAAAGTGTCACTGGCTCCCTAGACCACCTTGACGCCCCCATTACCTCCTGAGCCTTTTACCGCCCTCCTGAAGACTTCCTGTACCCCCAAGGGAGCACTATCACTAGAGTCTAGCCACAGCACAGCACCATAGCGAGGTGATATTGCGCCTGGCTTGCTGCTTGATAAGCGGGAAACAGAAAATTTTCGGCCGAGAGCTTGGCTCACTGCGAAATAGCGAATCACAATCGATCTCACCATCAAAGTAAATGCCTCCACAGTATTTTTCCGGATATACACTTTGAAAAAAATCAGATGGAAGGTATTCGAACCCCGAACTTTCCGTAGGAAGGAACGAATCTAATGACCTCCACGCTTCTGGCGGATCAAGCTACAAAACAATGTTAAGCGGCGTTCACAACCAAACTCTTTACGTTTCGTATTCTGATTGGTGAAGCAAAATCTGTAATTGAAATGACGGAAAAAGCTGAAAATATTCATCTTTTTGCGTTGCGAGAAGACATTGTCTGTGAAAATAGCAAAAATAGACGAATGATATTGTTATAAAAATGGAAAATACTACTACCCAGGTAGCCAGACTGACGAATGTGACGTCTATAGGACCGCTATCTAAGGTCTTTTTTGGTCTCATACGTCTTTTGACCAAATTATGACGTCATGCGGACGTCATTAATGTGACGTCTTATGGACAGCCACTGTTTGACGTCGTATAGACGTCAATCTATGGTCTTCATATTTTTTTGGGTATTATTATCATTATCATTATTATTATTATTACTATAATCATTATTATTTTTATTATTATTATTATTATTATCATGTATGTATAGGAAAACAAAGTTATAAAATAAATTGATTAATTTATCCAAATAACTGTATAAATGTATGATAAAAATGTACTTTATTCCATAGGCTTCCCTTGATTTTCAATGTTTAAATTTAGCGCCAAAGACAATTCTCACTTACCGACCAGATGGCCAATGGCGATCAAGTAATCACGCGAAGAGATTGTGTATGCGACTCGCGACCATCTTGCGACTGCCGTTAGTGGCGTTAGTGCCGTTCAGCGGTCCGTTCTGTGGTTCAGCGTCAAGCTTGCATCGTGCATGGTGCGTTCCCGTTCATGTTCATTGTCCATCGTCCATGTTCGAATGGGCGTTGTTTGTGAACGGCGTCAGTGCCATTGAATTTGTTAAGAATGTTAAAATGTTGAGTGTTCTACACTGTTTTTCACGTGAAAATATTCAGGATGTATTGTGTAATACAATTTAATGACAGTGGAAGCAACACAGTGTACCTGTTGTTCACGAAACTTGGCTGACGCCGTTGAAAAAGGAAGTGTTTTGGCCGCCATTTAAAGACAGCAAAACATACAAAAGAGCTCTCAGTGAAAGGGAGCCATCGACGCTGAAATTTTCAACTAGTTATGTAATACCTTACATTACTATCTTGTTAATAAAATCTTCATTCGTAGCAAATTTATTTTATAGCACAAATGATTACCTTCCTCACCAGATTATAAACATTAACCTCAAAATTTTATTTAAAAAAACAGACGTCTTATTGACGTCGGAAATTGGTCAGTAGTGTCAGTTTAAGGTCCAATTTGAAAACACATACTGACGTCTAAAAGACTTTCAAATATGACGTCATTTGGATGTGTCGTACTTACGTCATTTGGACGTCGCATTTGTTGAAATAAAGACGTCTTTTGGCCGAATGTGATGCCGTCAATTAGACGTCATATAGTCGTCATGTGCTACCTGGGTATTAGTTCTGATTCGAATAAAACAATACATGTAGGGAACATTCTATAATGATATGGAAGTTATGATAATGTTTTTGCTCATGATTTTTTTCGTGTATCCACGGAATAGTATAGATAGGTGTTCAATTTATTATTTGCTTGTTGAAGATTGATTTTTCTCTTCAACTATTGAATAAGGATCAATTTACGTCACTGCCAGTTCTATGAATATCATCAATTATCTAATCAATATTATTGTTATGATTATTTACTCCATATCAGGATGAAACACAAATGACAAAACCAAGGCAACTGAGAAAAGCCGTAAGAAGTCACGTTGATTTTGTTGTTGTTCTGAATGACATTTGCATTAGTTCAATTCACGTTTATTTTCAGATTCTGCTTGACCAATCAGAATTCGAAACGTAAAAAGCAAAACGTAAAAAGTTTGGTTGTGAACGCAGCTTTATACGCTCTTTACTTGCCGGCTTGACAATATTTCCTGTATAATGGTACTATGGCTAGGCTCTTATGCAGTACCGACCACTTTAAAAACCACAGGGCTAGACTCTTGTATGACCAATAAGTCCCTTTCTCTTTATTATAGCCGCCCGACGCCTCAACTCGTCCTGCTCGGACCTCACCATCGTCAGTCTCGACCGCGAAGACGCTGACAGGCACCCATCGGGCCCCAACCTGGTGAACAGGCAGCGTGTGCTACCCTTCGTGCCGCCGGCCTTCCCCGGCCTGTTAGGGTCAAACGGCCTGATCAAGCCCTCCGAGTACCTCAGGAGCATCGGCGACAAGCGGTCCTCGGTGTGCTCGGTGAGGAGTTTGGAGGAAAACGAAGAGGCCAGTGTCAAGCTGGAGGAGAGCAAGGTATGTTCCAGGACTTCCAGGTAGTTTGGGATGATGTGTTCAGAAGATATGACATATATATTGCTTTTCTGCTCTGCCACAAAACAGTGCATAAGAAAAAGCACGTAACAAGATCAAGTTTATACAAAACAGCGTGTTACGAAAAAACAGCGCCAACATACCCATTGGCAGACACCTTTTCCTACAGGAAAGTATTATTATACAGAATGGTTAGTTCCTTCAGGTAGATAGTGATCTTCCTCACACTTGCATATTTCAATAACTCATCTCTTCTTCTAGTACCTTGGAACACAATCTGGCCACAATAAATGGAAACTGACATGAAAAGAAATAACAAATATATGCAACTGGAGGTGACACTGTGCGTACTGCACTTCGTGTTGCCGTTCTTTCCTTCGTATTGCCATCCTTTCCTTCGAGCTATTGTCCTTCCTTGGCCTGTTGTAGGGTCGAAGGGCCTGATAAAGCCCTTCGAGTACCTCAGGAGTATCAGTGACAAGCGATCCTTGGCGAGGAGTTCGGAGGAGAACGAAGAGGCCAGTGTCATTCTCGTGAAGAACAAATAAGGTTTTAGGTAATTTGGGATAGGGTGTTTTGAAGGTCTGAAGTATAATGGTTTTGGCTCTGCCAGAAAACAGCACGTTACAAAACAGAGCATAACGGAACAGCGCGGTAATTAAACAGCTCAGCTCAGTCAATATCCCCGTTGGCCAACAACTTTTCCTACACTTGGATATTTCAATAATCCAGCTCTTGTTCAAACACATTGAAACTGAATCGAAACTGAATGGATGGAAACAGACCTAAAACAGAACGCAAATATCGGCAGCTCGAGGATAATTTGTGCGTGCTGTCCTTTGTGCCGCCGGCCTTTCCCGGCCTGTTAGGGTCGAACGGCCTAATCAAGCCCTCCGAGCATCTCAGGAGCATCGGCGACAAGCGGTCCTCGGTGAGGAGTTTGGAGGAAAACGAAGAGGCCAGTGTCAAGCTGGAGGAGAGCAAAGTAGGTTCCAGGACTTCCAAGTAGTTTGGGATGATGAGTTCAGAAGATCTGACATATATAATGCTTATGGCTGTGCCAAAAAACAGTACGTAACAAAATCGAGTTCATACAAAACACTTCGATATTTAAATAATTCAGCTCTTCTTCGAACACCTTGAAACTCAATCTGGCCAAAATGAATGAGAACAGACATGAAAATAAATAACAAATATATGCAACTGAAGGTAACACTGTTACGTACTGCTCTTCGTGTTGCCGTTCCTCCCTTCGTGTTGCCGTCCTTCCCTTCGTGTTGCCGTCCTTCCCTTCTTGCAGTCCTCCTTCCTTGGCCTGCTGAAGGGTCAAACGGCCTGATGGAGCCCTCCAAGTACCTCAGGAGTATCGGCGACAAGCGATCTTCGGCGAGGAGTTCGGAGGAGAACAAAGTGGCCAGTGTCAATCTTGTGTAGAGCAAGGTGGCGTTCAGATGGTTCGGGAAAGGTTGTTCGAAAGATCTGAAGGTATAAAGGTTTTGGCTCTGCCAGGAAACAGTGCGTTACAAAACAGAGCATAACGGAACAGCACGGTAATTAAACAGCTGAGCTCAGTCAATATCCCCGTTGGCCAACAACTTTTCCTACACTTGGATATTTCAATAACCCAGCTCTTGTTCAAACACATTGAAACTGAATCTGGCCTGAATGGATGGAAACAGACAAAAAAGAAAACGCAAATATCGGCAACTCGAGGAGAATTTTTGCGTTCTGTCCATCGTGCCGTCGGCCTTCCCCGGCCTGTTAGGGTCGAACGGCTTGATTAAGCCCTCCGAAAATTCTTGATAGGGAGAAGGTTCATATAATAAGGAATATGTGTTCCTTCCTCCCTGAAAAAAGTTCAATTATGTTTTTTTCAGGATCGACTTTGAGCTTATGAGGAAAATTATATATGATGTGATGTGAATCATATGGACAAGAGTTATTTACGTTGCATGGAATCGATTATCTCCGCATATCCCTGATTTACAGAGAAAAATAAAACCTCTGAGGTCACTGAAATGGACTGAATAGTCGGCTCAACGTCCCCTCCGAAGGACGGCATATCCGTACCATATCTTGTGCTCATTGATATGGTAGCTGTAGCTATGTAGCACAAATACGTCTCATGGACGTTTTAGGGACGTCCATTGTTACTAATCAGTATGTTTTGGGGACGTCCATTTTAGGTCCAGACTAGGACCTTTTTGGAACCAAAAATGGACGTATTGAGGACATCCAGATTATATTCATTGTTTATTTTCTGACCCATCTGAAGAGTGAAATACGCTTTAATATATATATTATTAGTATACATTGATTCGCACATAAGTATATAAACAGAAAATCAGCAGTTGTTTCAATTGCACTTTTCCATATCGTATATCGGCAGCTGTACCACTGAAAACGTCACGTGATTCATCGCTACGCAGGAGCGATGATGTCGTCCCTTTCTGATTGGTAGGCCTTCTGTTGTCATTTTTACTGCATCTGTAAAAAATTATGATAATATTCAATAACATCTTCTGTGAATACCATAAACCATAAACATACACCCACTTCCACCGTGTAGTAATCAGTAATAAAACGACGATAGCCATACTTGCCTTCATTGGAGATATGAATGAAGAAAACATAAAAACCTATGCAATAAATAAAAAAAAGAGATTATGAATGGTCCCTATATATAACTATTGAAAATCGAACCAAGAAAAACAAAAAATAATTCAACAAAAAATAAAATTTGTAAAAACAGCAACCAAATTGAAAATAATAGCTAATTTTCATTAATCATACTGAATATGATAATTCCAGTATATTGTTATTATACATATCCTTACTGTGATGCCACATTAATTATTAATTGTAACATATTAGGTAGATAGTTATGTCATATCAAAACATGACTATTCAGACCATTGCCATGAATAGTAGAACAGTGTAGAACGGATACAAAAACAGTAGATCTACTGTTAAAATAGTAGGTCTGACAACGCTGAACACGCATGCGTTCTACGGTTGCTTTACATATTCAGTGATTCAATCAAATCCTAGGTAGATCATCAATATTTCAAATTCATCATATTGATAATAAAATGAGATTCAATATATTGATATAGCTGACATATTAAATATTTTTTAGACATACATATCCATATCTATTGCAATAATTCTGATTCTTAAATTAATATATACCTACCTACTTATATTTACTAAAACTGATATACCATTATAGTCTGTGAATTGACGTTTCAAAGACGTCTTTTTCTGGACGTCCCGAGTATGTTAAAATGTCCATAAGAGGTCCCGGACGTTCAGACCAAAAATGGACCTAAAATGGACGTCTTCGGGACGTCCCGTGCTATCTGGGTAATAGGATCAGCATTCAATCATGAAACACCCTGTACTTCAATATATGTCATTCGTTTCTTCCATTCTGATCTATCAATCGATTAATCCAAGGAGAACTCCATCCCCGGTCCACCGCCACCCCCTTTGCCCGACTGCGCCGACTCCCTCCTCAGCGCCAAGCAGGAGCAGACCATGGTGAAGAAGCAGCAGCAGCCGCTGTCGGCCATCAGCATCCAGGACCTCAACTCCGTGCAGCTGCGCAGAACGGAGAAGACGGTCGCTTCCAAGACCTTTTCTGCGCCGACGCGCAGCATGAGCCTGCAGTGCCTGAGCCAGAGCGACGCCTACTTGGCGCAGAGGACCGACCTGATCGCCGAGCTGAAGATGTCCAGGGACATCACGGGGATAAAGAAGATGAAGATCGAGCGGGCAAAGACGGACGAGTGTAAGGAGAAGGAGTTGTTCTCGGAGATTTCGAGGCAGATTTCCACGACCAAATTTGTCGAAACGGTGAGTTGTTTCGTGCGTTCTCAGCTCAATCAGCGATCGCTAAGAAAGGTCGAATAGAGGGAAAAATCTTGTATTCGCAAATTTTCGTTCAGTGATAGGAGGAAGTGCCATGAACAATATAATGAAACCCAGGCAACCAGATGACGAATGATCACCTAATTGGTGATTTTTCATCATTTTCACCAATTTATGACGTCACTATGACGTAATTTATATGACGTGAGAATCACGTCATCACCTCGACGTCGAGTGAACGCCACTTAGAAGGGTAAAATGAGACGTCAGTTTCATGACGTTGCAGGGACGTCCTGCTCACATCTTGCCGACACAAACTACATAATTTTTTGATACAAATACGAGTAACTGATGGAGATGCGTACTGAGGAATAGCGCTGCTGAATAGACGATTGAATGGACATGACATCGGAAGGACCACCAAGCAGACTAAACAATGCATAATCAATATATTATATGTCATCAGAGGTCAGTGGTGATTATCACACCACCAATTATCGATACTACCAAACTCCCACATAGTGTCTTTTCAATAGAAAAATCCAAGATATGCTTATTGGAGTATAATTGCTTGAGAGTGAAATATGCTTCTTTTTTGCACTAAGTTCACAATTTTTCTATCAGTGTTCGAGTTTCCCTTCAATGCATCTTGCTATCTGTCAGAACAAAATTAAAGAGCGTGGCATATTCCAGGATTGAGTTTCAAATTATGTTCTTTGGAAAATGATAATGATAAATGATAATAATAGAATAGTAAAAATTGTAAAGTATGTTGCTATCATCAGCATATGCTTGGATACTCGAGATCTTGACTGTTTTGAACATATTTGCTTTTTAATGTTGGAACTTCACAAACGATAAGATTTCCACAAAATTCTCAAACACACGACATGTTTCGCTAACATAGCAGCTTCGTCAGGTGATATACTGGTACAATGAACTCTTTATAGATGATGAATAATAGTGGTCCCAAGATCGACCCTTGAGATACGTCGGAGGAAACACTTTCACTTTTTGACACCAAGTTTCCAATTTTAACCCTGTATTCTATCCGATAAGTGACGATGGTATCGATGGTGATGGTAGTGAAGATTAGATTTGAAAATTTGAATTTCATTTGTTGGAAATTTAGAGAGTACCCTCAAAACAATGAGAATATAATTGAGGGGCTACATTAATTCTTAAAAAATGAAATCTTCAATATTAAGTATCTGAGAAAATCATATTTTTCCTCAAAATCACCATTTCGCATTATAAATTAATTCTCATACAACTGAATTTATGATATGACATATATTTCCTATGCATCTATTTTTCTAGGTTCCTGAAAAAGACAACACTGGTAATATCATACCGGCTTGGAAGAGACAAATGTTGGCAAAGAAAGCAGCCGAAAAAGCACGAAAAGACCTGGAGGAACAGCTGTTGCGGGAAGCTGAAGAAAAACGTTTGCAATCCATACCGCAATGGAAGAGGCAGTTGATACAAAAGAAAGAAGAAACAGAACATAAGATAAGGTAGGTCGTATTTGAGTAATTATCGGGTATTATGAAAAATAGTATAATATCATTTTGAGATATGGAGTATATATCGATAGACGAAGTTTTTTCTACTGTCTCATGCATGGGAACATGGGAATTCTCTACAAGTGGCTGTGCATAAAAAGTACAACTGTTCTTGTAGTATAATCTACAAATATGTTTTCTCTCAATTCTCTTTAAAAAACAAATATGGATACCTATGTATAGTACCAAGTACTGTACAACTGTTCGAAACTCATATATTTTTGTTTGCTTCCTCAGGTCTACTCTTTACACACCAAAAATTCATGACGAACCAAAAGTCAAACTGAATATTATGGAAGATCACTCGAATCATAATGGATACAGGGAGGAACATTGTAAGGAAGACATAAACAATAATAATGACGATGAAAGCATAAAGCTAGACCAGACAGTGATCGAAGATAATTCTGACGAAGAGCCTCCCAATATTATTCCTTGGAGGGCGCAGTTGAGGAAAACCAATAGCAAGTTGAATTTGTTAGAGTAATTTATAGTTTGACACTTACTGAATAATTAGCATAAAGATGTGAATATATTGGAGAAAGTATTATTGATGAGTCGTTGGATTGTCATTTAGTGCGGAAGATGACAAAATACTACTAGGTCATGGTGAACCGAAAAATTGGGGAACCTGAGTGATGATGTCATACGAATGTATTACTTTAACATGTAATTCTATCTCGTTTCAGAAATGAACGAAGGTATCATAGCTTCTTGGACTTCCTGGTAGGACTGAATTCATCCAATTCCAGATGATAAAATAAATTGGTGGCTATCGAAATTCAATCGTTTTTGGGTAATCAATATTAATAATTCATGCATATATCTTCAAAATTATTGGTGAATATTTATCTAAATTCATCGTTCTATTGATACGTTACACAAAATAAAAGATAATAGGTTTCATCAGATCTCTGTATTTTGTCTAGTTCTGAAATCGAGAACGACTGATGTAGTATAGAAAAATGAGTAATTTCATTGCTTTTGTATAAATTTACTTCCTCATGTGAATCATATTCTTATACACTATGCAATCATATAAGCTATTCTGTTATAACCATTCTTATAGGTTAACCTTCTGAGTAACTTACCGAATTTTGAATTCGAAACATGGGGACAATAATGATTTCAATACAATCCAAACTTATTATAATTTATGAAATCAGCTGAATATAAGGACCTACCATCAATATCTGTTGTACTGAATAAGAGAGGTTCAACTATTCCTAATAAATTTAGTTAATGTCATATTCCAATCAATATTTATTATTATAATAATACATAGTGCTTCATTCCATTTCAATTATGCCAGGATGGAATAACTTTTGAAATGCTGATTTTAAGAAAAACTGGTGGAGCGAGGATATAATATAAATGTTACTCCAATTGTGAATATGTAAAAATGTGCCCCCCTAAAATTATATGACTTTTGACGTTTTTTCTTGATTTTTGGATAACTTAGAATGGAATGCACTGTATATGAAAATGTAATTTTTGTTTGGGTTCACGACAAGTTATATTCCAGTTCAGATGAATATCTATTATGTCGTTCTAAATTACGGAAAATGCATGATCTTGAAAATTCACCCAAAATGATAATTTTTGTGTATTATTAAAAGTTATTTCATTTTGTGAGATTCGCTCAATGAATGAAATGATACCAAAATAAATTATCTCTCATGAATTTATGTTTATCGACAAAATTCATGGAGTTATAAATGTTTTACTGTTACTTGTTTCAAAGTTTATTTCGTTATCCATACTTGATGAAGATACTTATAGGTGAAGCTTCATTTCCTCATGGTTTGATAATGTCTATCAATCATTTCTGAGTTCTATAGATTTCAATAGCTGGGAATATGTTTTGAAAAATATCATGTATTCCTTATTATAACATCTTGTTCAGGAATTCAAATTTTGTGCTTATCCGGTATTGGATTTGAAGAATGATATCTAAACATTATGTATATCTTACTACTACTGATCATTTTTGTAATTATAGCACGGTGCTCAATAAAGAATATATATTTGTTATATACAGCTTTTTCATTTTATTTCCTAACATTATGGAAAATAAATAGTAGAATAAGTTTCAAAAACGATGAACAAGAGTCGATTTGGAAAGGAATATTCTCAGATGAATCATGAACATGAAAAAATGAAAAAATGTATTACATCAACAGTATCAGCTTCATCAACAATTTTAAAGGCCATCTCATCTCATACGCGGACGATACTGCACTCATTTTTACCGGTAGTAGCTGGATGGAGGTATTTGAAAAATCAGAAGAGGGACTGAGAGATGTTCAGATATGGCTTAATCACAACCTTCTGAGTCTCAATGTGAAGAAAACTAAATTTATAACATTCACTCTATCGCAGAATAATCAACCGGGGCAAAACATAATGCATATCCATGACAAAGACTGTACTAATACAACTAACTGCAATTGTGCTGTTATAGAAAGAACAAAAATGATCAAGTATCTAGGAGTTGTTGTGGATCAGTATATGAGATGGGATGACCATATAAACTATGTTGTGAAACGACTCAGACAGTTAATTAAAAAATTCTATGAATTAAGAAATATCCTGGAGTATAAAAATCTGATCACCATATATCATTCTCTAGCAGAATCGGTAATGAGATATTGTATTGCTGCCTGGGGTGGCACTTTCAATAATTCCCTGAATATACTTCAAACAACTCAAAATACGATATTAAAAATATTGTTTAAAAAACCAAAATTATTCTCTACGGAATGTCTGTATGAGGAAACTCGATTACTAAAATCGAGAGACCTCTATATCCAACAATGTTTGATATGGGTGTTCATGAACAAATCCACACTTCAATCGATACACAAAGAAAAACAAACAAGATTCGTTACAAATTCATCTATAAATCTACCAGCATTCAAAAAGAGTCACACCCAGAGATGTATTTTCTATCATGGTCCGAAATTATTTAATCTCCTGCCAGCCAGCATAAGAAATATTTCCAATCTCAATAAATTCAAAAAATCAATCAAGTCATTCATCATTAATACCGAACTTCTGGATTTATTCAGCTGAATGGAAATGATATTCAACAGACTCTTCACTTCTCCTTCTCGTCACTTTTTATCACTCTTCAAATTCAAATTCATTATTCATCATTTTATTTTATTGTTCGTAAATAGGTATGCCTATATAGGTGAATGTATATATGCTTGTATTATATAATATATATATATGTATAAAGGGAATGGAAGGTATTTTTAGGGCAATACTATATATAAACTTTTGAACTGCCATAGTTGAAATGATTATCATGTCATTTTTGAGCACCCTGAATGGTGGATGGAAAGCGCAACACAAGTATTATAGATACTTAGGTGCATTCATCCTCACATGAAGGGTTGTAATAAACTGATTGTATATCAACTGTATTCGAAAAAAAGAGAGAGAATAAACTTGAACTTGAACTTGAACATATAAAGAAATACATTGAGAATTCGCATTCCTGCAAAAACGCCTAGCCATGATAAAAGCAACAACATTCGACCTTCAGCCGTATTAGTACGGTTTTTTTATGAAAACATTAGAGCTGCTGTTTTGAGGAACAGGAAACATCTGAAAAACACGGGTGTTACCATCAAAGAGGACCTTACGAAATTGAGATTAGCCATATCAACTTGTGCAATCAAAAAGTTTGGTGTTAAAAATGTTTGGTGTGCAAATGGTTCAATATTTGTCAAATGTAATGATGTTGTCCATAAACTTGAAAATTTGCAGATGATAAGCGATATTGATAATTGATTTACATATACTTACAGTTATTCAATCTATAATGAGTCGTATTATGTCACTGATGAGATTTAATTATAGTTATTTATGTATTAAGGGAATTATGAGGGCCTTAATTACCGATGGCAAAGTTTGCGTCCCGAGGGCCTCTGGCCCGAGGGACAGCAATTGCCAGAGGTTATTGAGGCTCTATAATTCCCGTGATACATAGATAATTTTATTTCTGACTGATTTCATTCATTAGATACCTTCCCGATTGGAAGTTAGACATGTTTTTCCGTATAGTTTCAATGTCATCAGAACGTCAGATGATGATCTTGACTACCGCGAATAGGAGATTCCTTATTGCTACGTTATTGCGTGGTTGTTGCTATGCATTTCTTATCTAATTTTAGCTAGAGGGAATTATAGCATCTATAACATCCCAAGGGAGTTATGACCCTCATAATAGATATCGTAACTATGACGATATAAGCTTATAATGTCACTGTCAGAAATAAAATAGTTTTTGTCTATTATCTCTTATAAAACCTCTGTTTATTTCTTTAGGCTCGAGCCACTACTAATTCTGGAAATATTTGGAATGATAATTAGAAAATCAATAGAGATCTAACATTCAAATGGATATTTCCGTACGATTATTTTGAAATTTCATTACTTTTAATATTTCCAGTGATTATTGCAAATTTATTTTTAATATTAAGTAAAGGGTGTACTGTTTTGTGATGAACTTGTGGTCTGTTATATCAACTTATATTTATTTCATGATGTAATGCAGCGTCAGTGGTTGCATAATTCAAGAGTTGATTGTTTTTCTCGCTTATATCGAGAATTATTACCTACTGTTTCTTCTCCTACTATCCTGTCTTCCTCTTTTACACTTTTCTCACTCTATTTTTTCTAATCTATTTTTCTTTTAGTCAAGTATGTACCTGAAAATTGCACATATCAATGCAAGTTCCTTGTTGAAGCATTTTAACACGTTTGCTACCCAAGTGATTGATCTTGAATTAGATGTTATGGCAGTAACCGAAACCTGGCTTCGTGCAGAAGTGGGTGACGATGCAATTAGATTACATAACTACAACTTTGTTAGACTGGATAGGTTAACTCATGCAGGAGGTATCGGTATGTACATAAAAAAGTCATTGAAATTTAATACTATACTAATGGAATGCTCTGAATCTGTTGAACAAATGTGGGTTCAGGTTAGCTGTAAAAAAGAAAATTATATCATCGGTGTCATTTATAGACCTCCTAAATCAAATTTTCATTCTTTTCTAAATTATTTTGAAGATAGTTTATCCAATATATACTCTAATTATGAAAAAGTTATGTGCCTAGGTGATTTCAACATAGATTTTTTAAATCCAAGCTGTACTAGAGTGAAGCAATTGAGTAGTATCGTTGAAACTTTCAACTTGCACCAAATAATAAATGAACCTACAAGAATCTCTAAAACATCCAGTACTTTGATTGATCTGATTTTCGTAGGTGACAAAATCAAAATTTCTGAGTCTGGAGTGAACGACTGGGGTTTTTCTGATCATCTGCAAACATATGCTGTTATCAATACTGATATACAATTTTCTGATGAACATTCAAAATATTACTCTTATAGAGATATAAAAAATATCGACTTCCACTCCTTCAATCATGATTTGATTTCCTTGCATTGGCATTTACTTCATGAAATCT